GGGAAGGACCCCAGGGCAGCTGTCTTCAGACACAACCACTTGAGGGTTAGGGACAGTTCTTTTTTTTTTTTTTTTTTTTTTTTTTTTTTTAGGCCGGCTTTGCTGTGCTGTTCAGGCTGGCCTGGAGCTCACTTTGTGGCCCAGGCTGCCCTCAAATTCACAGTGATCTTCCTGCCTTAGCCTCCCAAGTACTGGGATTACAGGTATGCGCCACCATACCCGGCAGGACAGTTCTTACAGGGGAATTCTTCAGTTTGTCCCAGATGTTCTTTTTGTTTTCCTCTTTAATTTTTTGCTTTGTGTTTTTTCACAGTAAAAGTAAAACTTCTAAGCCACAGGGAAACATGCTTCTGGAAGATGGAGGACAGACTTTTGCCTCCTACCTTCTAAACTTACTTTAAAAATTTAAAATGACAAATCTGTACTCCCGCGTAATGCTTTTGCTTTCAAATAAAAAGGCTGTGGGTGCTGAGACCACAGGCTGTGGGTGGTGACACAGTGTTAAGAGCTAGTGTCAACCACAGGGCCATCTTGGTCACAGTGTTTCAGTCAAAGCAAGTCGTAGGTCAGCCAGGGTCAAGGACAAGGAAATACACTCTGCTCTTGAGGGAAGGAGCAGCACCTGAACAAGGACTGCGGGGTCAGTGTTGGTAGCCATTGTGGACAGCACTACAATTGACAGGGCTTAGTCTAATACATGCATTTTGGTGGTTTGGGGTTTTAAAAAAATTATCGCTGGCATGGCGATGCATGGCTGTAATGCCAGTATACTTTGAGAAGCTGAGGCAGGAGGATCTCAAATTTGAACCCAGCCTTGACAATTTAGTGACTTAGTGAGGTCTTGTTTCAAAAATATTAAATATTGCATCTCTCAAATGACCAGTGATGTTGAACACTTTTTCATATATTTATTTGCTGTTTGTATTTCTTTACTTCAGAAATGTGCATTCATCTCAGATGCTCATTTTTGGATTATGTTTTTAAATTTGGGGGTCTGATATTTTTCATTTCTTTATATGTTCTAGATATTAGTCTTTTGTCTAAGGGACAACTGGCTAAAATTATTTCCCACTCTGTGAGTTGTCATGTCACTCTGTTAGTGATTTCTTTTGCTATGCAAAAGCTTTTTACTAGGATGAGATCTCAGTTGTTGATTATTTATAGTATTTCCCATGCAATTGGGGTTTTGTTCCTGAAATCTTTGCCTATGTCTCCAAGAGTTCTGCCTATTCTCTGTTCCAGCAGATTTAGTGTTTCTGTTTTAATATTTAGATCTGTGATCCATTTTGATTTCAGTTTAGTGCACAGTGAAAGATATGGATCCGATTTTAATCTTCAGCATATGGAAAGCCAGTTTTTCCAGCACTACTTATTAAGAGGCCATCTTTATTTCAGTGAACACGTTTGGCACCTTTGTCATCTTCTAATCTGTCCCATTGATCTTCATGTCTGTTTTTTGCTAGTACCACACTGTTTTATCACAGTCGCTTTGCAGTATAATTTCAAGACAAAGATAGTGATATCCCCTCCCTTGCCTTGGTTGTCGGGAATTTTTTTTTGCTATTCTAGGTCTCTTCTGGTTCCAAATGAAGATCTCTTCTGGTTCCAAGTGAATTTTAGGAATCTTTTCTCTAGTTCTGTGAAGTTTGCTATTTTGATTGGGATTGCCTTAAATCTGTATAGGAAGTATGACCATTTTCCCTATGTTGGTTCTTCTTACCAACAAGCAAGTGATATCTTTCCATTTTCTGATATCCTCTTCAATCTCCTTTTTCGGAGTGTTGTAATTTTCAATGTATAGGTCTTTTATTTACCTGTTAGATTGATTTCTATTCTGAATGCTGTTGTAAAAGACATAGTTACCCTATTTTCCCTCTCAGTGAGTTTGCTGTTTATGTACAGGAACACTGTTGATACCATAGAAAGAATGGCTGTTATCAAGAAATCAGCCAATAACCAATGAGGTCTGTGGGGAAATAGAAACCCTTCTCTGCTGTTGGTGGGAGTGCAGACTGGTGAAAGCCACTGTGGAAATCTGTGTGGAGATTCCTCAAAAAACTAGGATTAGAGATCTCATTTGACCCTGCTAGTCCCCATCTGAATTTTTCCAGAAGAATTAAAAGCATCATACTATAGTGATATGAGCACACCCATATTTATAGTGGCACAGTTTGCAATAGCTGTATTTTGGAAACAGCCCAAATGCCCATCAATGTAAGAATGGGTAAAAAAGAGGTATTTTTTTATACAATGGAGTACTACTCAGCTGTAAAGAAGGATATACTTGAAACATTTCTAGGTAAATGGATGCACCTTGAGACCATACTCTTAAGTTAAATAAATCAGACACACAAGTGTAGATATTGCATTGTTTCTTTGATGTGATGAACCAAAAGGGTAAATAAGGACCAAAGTGTGTAACAGGTATTGTGAAATAGGAAGCAATTGTTCAAAAGAAAGGGGAACTAGGGAGGGGAAGGGGGAAAGAAAGGAAGGGAAAAGAAAAAAATTAAAATAAGATAAAATGGAAACAAAGCTTTGTAAATGAGGGGAAGCGGGGCTTAAGGGAGGGGAAGGGATTGAGAAAAAATGAGAAATCAAGATATATCATGTACAGGTACAAATTCCCTGTGATAAATATGATAATTACATATGTCGAAGTTGTACCAATAAGCTTAATAATAAAAAATGCATGCATACATATGTACATACATAGAGGGCTGGGGATGTAGTTCAGCGAGAAATCCCTGGGTTCAATTCCCAATACTGCCAAAAATTTGTAAGTTATATGGAAACACTGTACTTCCTGCTCAGCTTCTTTATAGAACTAAAACTTATCTAAGGAAGCATTAATTAAAAATTGTATCTTTAGCTATATAGCTTTTAATTGTAATACTCATTATGAAAACAATTCAGAGGGGCTGGGGATTTAGCTCAGTGGCAAAAGCGCCTGCCTGGCAAGCGCAAGGTCGTGAGTTCGGTTCCCAGTACCGGAGAAAAAGCAAAAAAAAAAAAAAAAAAAAAAAAAAAAAAAAAAAAAAAAAAAAAAAAATTCAGACCATATGGAAATAGGGAAAATAAAGTTAAAAGTGAAGCCGCAGGATTTTGCTAGCTCCCCATCCCATACTCTTCAGTTTATAGAATGGATATGTAGAGCCCAAAGGGCAGCCTTAACACTGTGTGTTCTATGTGGGGAGGTCTTCTAATAAGTCATTTCTAGAGAGGAAGATGTGTCACCCCATTATTAACACGGTAGCCTGGGTGCCCCGCTCAGGCGGGTTTTCCTCACCCTTCTTCCTGGCTGGCTGTGCACTTCCTTGACAGGGCCAAGAGTGAAGTCTCTGTTTTCTGGTTACAAGGCTCACTCTGGGCTGAGCTCCACCCCAGTGGAGCACTGCACATGTGAGGCCCTGGGGCACCCAGGTCATGCCACTCCGAAACCTCAAAAACACAGATTTTCTAAGAAATAAGAATATATATATATATATAAATCTTGTTTTGGACTTTATATATTTTGAACAGTTTCTGATGTCACATAATCTTCAAAACCATGATAAAAATCATATGTATTTTTATTATAGCAGTATTATATACATATGATAAACACCTGAAAGTGAAAAAAATCATGAGTAAAGGTATAAAAATTACCCATAATCTGTCTTCTGGAGGTAATTACTGTAAAATATTTGCTGTATTTTCTTCCAATCTTTTTCCTTTTTATGTGTGATTTTTTTTTAACTCAGTATTATGTTGTGAATTTTATGTCATTAAATGGTTATTAAGCAATGGTATTCAAAGGATATATTTGCCATTTAAGGCATTTAACTTGTTTAAGTTTTATTTTACTTCTAGGAATACTTGCACAGACCTCCAGTTTATTTCCTGTATGTTCCGTGGGGGAGGGGTACATGTTACTCCTATTACCCTGTTCCTTCACAGCTCCCTGTGGTAAAGGGGGAATTTCACGGGTGTCTGTTCCTTGTTTGGCCCTACAATGAGCCCTCTGTATGACAGAGAGTAGGAACTGGCCTCCTTTCACAGATGAGGAGATTTTACTCAGAATTCCTGACTATGCCATCAGAGTATGACTGGGATCACAGCCTTTGATTTTTATAAGTTTTCTTCCCTTATCTGTGTGGTGAAATTATTGGTCTGGATATTTTGTGTTTTCCACCCTCAGCTCTAAAAACTCTGCTTGTAGTATTTGAAAGGCCCGAGATTTATTTTCTAAGCCCGAGGAGTACTTTGAAAGGGCAAGGTTAGTGTGGTGTCTATCCCGTACCCAGAGCACACTGAAGAGTGAGTGAAAATCTGGCTTACATCAGAGCAAAAACAAACACAAAAAGTGATATAGTTATCTACACAGAATTTCCCAATGCTTTTATGGGAAAAAAGTCAACAAGCAAAGTCAGAGGGCAAATGTAGCTGGAAAATATTATTTAAAATATATTATTACAGAAGGTTAGTATAAAATATTTGAAAATAAGTAAGAAAAGTGTGAATACCTACATTGAAAAGTGGGCAAAGATCACAAGCAGAGATTTACAGATGGAAAATACAGGTGAAGAAGAGAACCAAAGATGGTCTCCAGACATCTAGTGAGCATCGTGAGGAACAGGAATGAGATGCGATTTTCTACCTCTCACATTGGGAAAGATCCAGAAGATAATGATGGCTGGGGAAAGGCCATCTTACGCTCGGCCGTAGGAGGGCACATTGGCATGCCCTCTGGCATCTGTAGTGAAAATTAGAGCCTGTTCACTTTGAAGGATTAAGTGTAGGCAAGTGGCTGGACCAGGACAGGGAGGTAAGTGCAAACACATTGCCACATTGCCGTTGACTCACTGCCTATGAGTGAAAGCTTGGTAACCAAAATATCAGTGGGCTGTTGAGTAAATCCTCAACATGGTCTATAATATTCCATTATTTTAGATAATGACACTGATTTGTACTCACAGACGTGAAAAGATGTTCATGATATACCAAGTGGAGGAAAACCACAATTTATGTAGAATATGATCCTTCTTCAGGGTAAGAGTTGTGTAAAACTAATGAGAAGGATTTATACCAACTTACAGCAATGATCATGGGTGATAAAGGGATAGTTGATTTTTATTTCCTTCTCTACTTTCATTTTTTACATTTATTTTTTGTGAAATCTATATTTGCTTTCTAACTGGAAACTATAAAGAATTACGCTTTGGAATATTTTTGTCCTTATCAGTAGTCTGGAATGTCTACCTCAAGCACTTCAAAGAGCTGGAGTCCCACTGGATCAAATCACCTAGAAAAGCCCTAGACCTTGCCCTGAGTGCGGATGTGGGTTGGTAACCGAGCGCTCCAAGTGGTACCGCGTGGTGTGTGTGAACGCTGTGCCAGGTCGCGGGGACGGGTGCTTTACCTGGATTTCCGTAGTCGCCTGCCCCTTGCTCTCAGAGCGCGAACAGTCCAGGAAGTTCTGCTGTGACAAGCAGACTGGATGTCGAGCTGGAGGAAGTGAGATGGGGCCCTCAGAGCCCGGCTCCGGTTTCCTGAGAAGAAGAACATATCAGGGACACCGTGTCAGGCCTGGAAGGTGAATCTGATTTACTGATGGTCCCACAGATGTGGTCCACATTTAACGTTCTCCAGTTGTCCTTATTTTTGTTTTTTATTTTCTGTAGTGCTGGGATCAAACCGGGGCCTGGCCCATGCTGCTTGGCAAGCCCTCTGTTCTGGATCACACTCCCACCCCTCCCCAGTGGTCCTTAGAATAGCTTTAAAGCTGCCTCCCCAAATCCAGGCTACACTCACAGTTTAGAGGTTGCATTTGGTTGTTTTATTGCTTTTCTCTCCATCTAGATTCTAGAACAATCTCCTTAGCCTCTGTTTTGTCTGCTGTTCATGACATTGGCTGACTTGAAATGTTCAGGCCAGCTGTCTTGGAGAATGTTCATTTCCGCACTGGCCTGGTTGATTCCTCCTGATCAAATTCCAATTAAACATTTTTGGTTGGAATGCCCGATAGGGCTTTTTAAAAATTTCATCACTTTAGGAGGCTTCTCATGGCCTGTTGTCCTACTACTAGGCTGACTAGCTATTTTTTAATGAGTGGGAAATTTTAACTCATAGAAGAAAAGTCAAGGCTACTAACCATTCCTCATACTGGATTTTTACACTTTCATGAGCTCAAAGAAAATGCTTATTAAGAGGAAATATGCAGAAAATAAAATAGCAAGTATTTCACAATTTACTGAAGCTTTAAATCTATCTTTTTTTTTTATAAAGAAAGCAAAATCTTTTGTTATTTTGATGACTCTTTGTCTCTACCTTTAGGCAGGCAGGTTGGACTTTAGGTATGGCATTCTGCTAGTTGCTGCTGGGGTTGGACTCGTATCGACGTAGGCAAATGTGTAAGGCAGCTTTCTTTTCATGCCATTGCAAGGTCACAGACATGACATGCCACAGTGCCAGCTGCCCTTCTTACTCTGAACTGTAAGAACAGTAAGTCTGTAGTAGCTAAGGTTAGATTCCTCCCTCAGATCTGGGGAGTATGGTCTTAAAACAATTGGCGCTGTTCCTGGAAAGGCTTTTGAATGCATTCTTTCTTTTCTGTTTTGTTTCAGTTTTTTTGTTTTGTTTTACTTTGAAGCTTCCTACCAGGAAACACAGGAAATGCACAACATTCCCTCTTTTCCAGAGCCATCTCCTGCTCCTGGGCTTGGGTTGGAGACAGATCTCCTGGAGTTCTGCTGGGGTGAGACGTGAACTCATGCAATGCATAGCTCTATGGGAAAACACCAGTGACACGGATGTGTTGACTCTCTTGCAGGGCCTCTTTCATGACCAAAACTGTGCCTTGTGGAAACGAGCTTCATAAGTTCCTCATCTGGGACACTGCCGGGCAGGAGCGGGTGAGTACCATTGCTGCAGTCGGCTGCTGCAGGCTCCTTGGCACTGGGCGAGACCCTGGTAGCAGAGAGGACAGAAACCCGGTCTAAATCAATTTAAGCAGGAAGGACATGTATGCGGTGAGGCAGGGCTGAGCTCAAGTCCCTGCGCCTCTCTGGAGGTGCCCGTCTGCCTTGACTTGTTCCTTGCCACTGGGTTCAGTGGTGCTGGCACCTCCACTGGCTTCGCCTCCCTCTTTACCCCGAGCGTGGCAAGCTCGGCCCCATAAACCACTGCAACCTCATCCCACCACCTTAGCATCCCTGCAGAGGAAAGGGGAGCATAAGACCTGTTTGCAGCCTGGGTTCTGACCTGCTTGGTTTGGGCCTCTCACTTACCTTGCCTGTAGTGAATACAGAGGTCCAAGGACCTAGTGCCCCCACTGGTAGAGCTGGTGATTCACTTGCTGTAGAGGGACTGGCACCAGCTCCATCCGAACCCCAGTGGCCAGAAGCCAAGCCAGCTTAGTTTCCCAAGGGAAACCCGGCTTCTCTTATTGGAAAGTGGAGGGTTGGATGCTGGATCACCAGAAACAGCAGATGAGTTCTCTCTTATACTTAGTTCTCTTTATTTATTGAAAATATTTATGGAGAAGACTCTGTATTGAGCAGCTCAAGTGTTTAGGTCCCAAAAGGGAATCAATCCCGAGCGGGGGCATTTGTGTACTGACTGTCGTGCACACTGTCAGAGCCGAGAGGGCTGGCGGGTGAACGGAGCGGAGACAGACAGCCCAGTACTGCGTCTGCACCCAGAGCTTTCAGCTCGAGGAGTCTCGTCAGAGCTGACCGTTACGGAGCAGAATGGGTGCAGCTTTCTCCTGTCTGACCCCACATGCCACTTTCTCTGCCCACCCTAGCCAGAGTGACACCTCTCCCCTCCTGCCTCCTCACTGTCACTGTGCATCTCCGGTACCCACCCCACTCACCAAATCATCCGTTTATTGTCCAAAGGAGGAATTGTGGGTTCAGGGTCATCTAGAGTTTTCATTGCCTACTCTTCATAAATCAAATGTTAGTTTATACAATTTTCGCTTTTTACAACGTCCCTTGGTAAAACTCAAGTTCCAGGATTTGTGGGTCAAGGCATTTTGAAGAATTTTTTTAAATGGGTTGAATCTTGTGGCCTACAAATGCTACCCTTGTTAGAGCGTCTCTTCCCTGCTGCTGAGTCGGAGCACCGGCTGCACACGGGTCAGCTGCCTGGCCGGCACTGCTGGCGACGCAAGGTCCCTCTCCTCCAGCCCGAGTACCCCTTGCGCTTGGTCTGCTGGTTTTACGTTTTGGAATTGTTACATAAACTCAAGTAGAGGTTATCTTGCCCCCCTTTACCTTTGGCAGTGACACAGTTGCTTTTGCAGCAGTTTTATCTCATGCAGGGTAAGTCAGCTTTGCAGACAGCGGCCTAGCACTGAAGCTTTGACAGCGCTGCCACTCGCGCTCCCGCCTGATGCTCCTGGTGCTTGCGGGGTCCCAGGCCTTGCTCTGGGTGCCTTACTGTGCTCATGCATTTGGCCCTCTAAGAACAACTATGAGGAGCAGGTGTTCACCCACTGACAGGCGAGGCCGTCCAGGCTCACAGATCACAAGTTATACGGCTTACTACGGCATAAGGCTGACGTGGGAATCCGCCGTCCAAGACCTGAGCTTTAGGGTTTTGTTTTGATAGAAAACTCATACAACAGCCACATGGCTAATAGTAAAATTAAGCACACCTTCACCATCCAGATATTTCCACGATCGATATTAGATCATCATTTTTTAGGTCTCTTTTGCGTGGATAATTTTTTTTTTTTTTTTTTTTTTGGTTTTTCTCCAGTACCGGGAACCAAACACGACCTTGTGCTTGCCAGGCAGGCACTTTGCTGCTGAGCTAAATCCCCAGCCCCTGCATGGATAATTTTTATCAATGGGGTTGCAGTTCCTCATAATCTACTGTTTTCATTTGATAATATAATGTTAATGTCCCTAAGGACGATGCCTGTGTGATCAAAACAGAGCATTTGACATTCTTACCTTTTTAATACAGTATTCAAAGACTTTACTGCTTTGGGTGACATTTGGTACTCCCCCAAGCTCATTACTATAATTTGACACATTTACCATCTCCATGTAAAATAGCAATGGAAAGATTTCTGCTGATCGTACTTCTAATTCTAATTGCTTTCCTACAGTTTGAGTATTGGAGGTTGTAGACATGTGTGACTGCAGTAAGATATCCGTAATTTTTGTGTGGTACTGGGAGTTGGACCCAGGGCCATGTACCTCCTAGATGAGCACATTACCGATGGGCTCCACCTCCAGGCCATAATTTGTTCGTTTGTGAAAGCATCAGAGTTTCATGTGAAAGGTGTGCTCTATAGTAGTCATGTGCTTCCTTTATACTTTTGGGAAGAGGGATTTACTTTTGGGTAATAATCTCAGGCGCACGGTTTTAGGGCCTTTGGCTCATCCCATCCTGCTAGCCCTCAAAGGCCCTATTTGGTTATCCTCGGCTGGCCTCGCCTGTGTCCTTTTGACGGAGTCTCACCTCTCCAGTGATGGCAATATTTCAATTGTTTTGGCAGCTTGTTGTCTGCTTTAATGGTGCTTGTAATGATGTTGCCTAATGTTTGAGCTAAAAATAAATTCCCTGCTGTTGCTGGTGCCTATTGCTATTAGTTCTGTCTCATTAGTTACTAGAGCCCAGTGGGTTGAGCTATCCCTGGTTGTCTCCATGGAATCTGCTACTGCTCACCTCATTTTGTAACTTTTAACAGTGTCTTTGGTTTATGACGTGATGGTATAGCGGTGCAGGTCTGTGTGTCCTTAGAAGAGGACTGATGCTCGGCGTGTGCCAGGGCCTCACGTGCCCAGTGCGCTGAGTGCCCTGCTTACTGCCTGGTGGGGACCTGTGCTCTTGGAGAGCTTCTTCCCTCCAGCATTGCAGATGTGAAGGGCCCTCCCCATCTCCTGGTGTCAGAGGGCTGTCAGTCTTGGTGTGTGAGCTTCCTAACTGGTTCCTTCAGTAGCTCAATGGTAACCAAGGGAATACCTTTATAAAACAGTGTTTTTAAAAACCTAACTGTCTTCCTGTTGACCCTGGATCTGGCATGTTAGCAGCCTGACATTTCCCAGATGTGTTCGTTCAGTGTGTGGCTCCCCGAGGGCTGTAGAAAGGAGTGCCTTCGGTCCCTGTCCTGCCATCCTGGAGGGCTCTAGGGGGTTCATCCCATACACCTGGGGCAGTTGCGCTGCTCTTTGCTGCTTCACGCTCACACCAGGCTGCGTAGAGAACCAGACGGGAGGATGTGCCGGAACTGCACTCACCGCGGTCCCAGGGCAGAGGCGGGCGGGGAGGTGGGGTGGGGGGGACTTGTTTGCTCAGCTCTGCCCTTCACCTCCCATTGGTCAGGACCTGTGATGAGTGGGGAGACTCCTATGCTCAGGCCTCAAGTCCTGCGTCCCCAGCCGGCTCCCTTTGGACTTCCTTCTTTGTTTTCCTATTTAGACTGGGGTGATGTAATATCTTCCTTGCTATTAAAATGGTCTCATTACGTATGCACTGTAAGAAATAACCTCCTTGGTTCCAATATCCTGCAGCAGTGGTGACCGTTAAGCATAATGATAGCAACAATGGTTTGAAGATTTGTGTAGCAAATTATATAATTTATTACTGCTATCTCCTTTGGTATTTAGCAAATTAATAAGACATTGAAAATGAGAAAGAAACACCAAGAACGAACTAACACCGTATATGCTGAGTAAGCGGCTTTTATCCACTATATCATGAGCTATTGTGGAATTCTAAGTAGAGTTGTAAGGTAGGAAATGCTGTCTTCATTTTTCTAGATGTGTGCTTTCAAATCATCTTGATTTTGCTTTAAAACACAATCTCAATCCATGGAACTCCATTGAAACATGTCAGGATCCTGGAAAAATTTTGGACTTCTTTCGCTTGTTCTGATTCACTAAGGCAATATTGTTAGAAGAATCTAACTGAAAGCTTTTCATATTGAAGTACACCATCTTACTGCTTTGTACCATTTGGTTAAACTCAATTTCATAGTTTTTGTCTTTCCCAGTGAACTGCCCGAGTCTTGATGGTTGGATTTATAACCTTTTCATTTCAAGTGAACCACAGTTAGACTCCACATAAACAGTTTGGTGGTTCTACTGTTGCAGTAAAAATTCTCAGCTGCTCTGCCAACACATCTGAAGCTGATAAGATTGACTTCTGAAATCTAACTTTATTTTATGCTTTTTAAAAGATAAAATCAGAGAGCACACATGTAGAATAGTAAGTGGCCTCTCTCGCCCTGTATCAAACAAGAATTCTGTGGGATAGTGGTAAAAAAGTACAAAATGAAGAATTGTGTACTAAGTTATATAATTTATTGCAGGCATCCTTTTTGGTATTTTTAAAAAACTGATAAAACATTGAAAATGAAAAATATACTAAGAAAAAGTTGAATAACATTGTATGGGCATAAATAAGATGATTTAATCCAGAGCTTTGCAGAATTCTAAGTATAATCTTAACTAAGACTTGAAAATGCAGAATAATGTTATTAGTCCTGAAACTGGCACAGGATCGCCAATGTGTGAATTTAAAAAATATTTCCATTTTAAAATAATCATACTTGTAGGGCTAGGGGTATAGCTCAGGGCAGGGTGCTTGCCTAAGCATGCAGCAGGCCCTGATTTCAATCCCCAGCACTGAACACAAAATCCTGCTTACAGAAAAGTTACAAAAGTAGGAGACCCCTTGCTGTGGGGTGCTGCTTCAGGCTGAAGGTGTGGGGTCTGCTGGGATGGAGGGAACACCGGCTGCCTGGGTAAACACTTCCGGGGCAATCCAGAGCTGAGAGAGGGCAGGTCACATCCGTGGATCCGCTGACCACGGCATGTGGCTGAGCTGGAGTCAGGAGGTAGACACTTGGGTGTCCCTTTCGAGAGGAGCTGAGAAGTGATGCTGGCAGAAGGCAGGCGACTGATTCCTGGAGAGGTGGAGGGTGAAGGGCATCAAGGGCGTCAAGGGCCTGACCTGCCGGCTCTGCTCACTGCAGACGCCAGCCTCATCCAACCGAAGCTTCCTCGGCACATCGCCCTTCCAGCTCCTTTCACTACACTGGACTTTTCCACCGTCCGGGAAGTTCCATCCAACACAAACTTCCTGTTAAAAACTGAGACTGTACAAATAATGTTCGACTCTCCGTGGCTTTTAAATGTAGTATTCACCACTTCCTCTTGCCTGACGGGGGTCCCTGCCCAGCTTGGGAAATGTGCAGAGAGAGCTGTGCCGGTGTGCTGTGGTCCACAGCTCTGTTTTCCTGGGTGTGGGGCCTTCCCTGGCCCTGCTCACCCAGTCTAGGCGCACGCAAAGCTCTAGCCCAGTGCTTCTTGTCCTCTTTCTCTGGTTTGCTGAGGAAGCAGCTGAACCCTGCATAATGCATTTTGTGGTTTCAGTGGTTAGAAATAAGTGCACCAAAAAATGTTTCTGTCCAGTTGTTTCTGTGCTGACCATCAGAATGGGCAGTATTGCCAACCTCCTTTCTTTTCCACAAACATATTTATTGAGCTCTAACTTGCTTACCAGACATTTCACCTACTTCAAGTGCACAGATCACTGGGTTCTACAGTATTCAGAATTGTGCAACCCTCACTGAAGTCCATCTCAGAACATTCTGATCGCGCAAGAAAAAAAACATGAATGCATCCGTGTGGGAGTCGATGGTCTCTCCGTGGTCCCCGGGAGAAAATGGTGAAAGGATATAGAAAATGACAGGAGACAATAGCCAGGGTCAGGTGGAATTACCTCTTGCCTGATGAGCAAGAGGACTGACCTCAACAGTAGAGGCATTTATTTTATACACTTGCAAAGTAGTATCATGAGAGATAATGTTGCCTAGCGACTAAGACTAAGACTGTAATTGTCCAAGCAGGATTTTTTCGGTACTGAGGTAGCTTGACAGCCTGAGGCACTATGGCTCTGTCCCACCCTCACACACAACAACCAACTCCAGTGGCTCCCAACACATCTGCAGTAACCCCCAATTTCCCTGCAAGCCCCTCAACTCTGGGCTACTTTCAGTCCCTGGGTTTACCCAGTCTAGACCTTTCTTATCAGTGGAATTATACAGTCTGTGATTTTCTTGTAACACACTTCTTTCGCTTTGCTTCACCAGGTTTATCTATTATGTCATATGGATCAGTATTTGTTTTCTTTTTATGACAGAATAATACTCCATTGTATGAATATGTTATTTTTTTCTTTGTTCATTTGTTAGTGGACAGTTCAATTCTTTCTACTTTTTGGGCTGTTACAGATAATGGTGCTCTGTGTAAGTTTTTGTGCATATGTATGTTGTTTAATGTCTTGGGTATATATCTAGGAGAATTGATGGGTCATGTGGTAACTCTTCTATTAGCATTTAGAAGAACTAAAAACTGTTTTCTAAAGAGGCTGTACCATTTTATATTTCCTCTACTATTGTATGAAGTTAAGGTCATGAAGATTTACTTAAATGTTTTCTTCTAAGAGTTTTCAATAACTGTAGCTCTTATTTTTAGTTCTGTGATTCATTTGAAGTTAATTTTTGTGTATCTGTATGGAAGGAATGCAGCTTTATTTTTTGCATGTGGTTGTTTTAGTTGTCCCCACATGGTTTCTTGAAAAGACTATTTTTGCCAGGCATGGTAGCACATAGCTGTAATCCCAGCTACTCAGAAGTCTGAAGCAGGAGGATGGAAAGTTCCAGGCCAGCCTGGCCAACAACAAGATCCTATCTTCAAATAAAAATAAACAGTAACGGGACTGGGGATGTAGCTCAATGGTAGAGCATCACTGGGGTCAGTCCTCAGTACTGCAAAAGAAAGAGAAAGGACTATTTTTTGCTCAATTATTTTGACACTTTTGTTGAAGATCAATTAATCATACAGTAGGACTTCTCATTTGTGATTCTCAGTTCTATTCCTTTGATTTAGATTTTTTTATACATAACACCAGTACTGCATGTCTTGCTACTACAGCTTTGTAGTTTTGAAACTAGAAAGTATGGAATTTTCCAACTCTGTTTTTCAGGATTGTTTTGATTATATTGGATCCCTTGCATATCCATATGAATTTTAGGATCAGTTGATAAATTTTTATAAGGAACACTATGCTGGGATTCTGATAAGTGTTATGTAATATTTGTAGATTAAGTTGGGATTTACCTACTCCTTGAATTAGAAGGTGTGACATAAAGCATAAGTGATAAGCTAGTTGCAAACTGTCTCTCATCTATTTGGAAAGTACTTATAGACTGCAATGCAACCTCAGAGAAAAAATCTGACTAAAAAATTAAATCTTCTATGTGTCTAAATATTGTAAACTACGACCATAAGCAAAGTTATGTTTGGGAAGGTATCACTTAAAATTTATCAAGCCATTGGTGAAATTTATGATCTTTGGCTAAATTATATTCTTTGAAAGAACCTGCATCTTCAAAACTGTATTATTTGTAGCTGATTTAATTTTGCAGCAGTATTCTCCAACATAGGACCAGACTTACCGCATAGTGCTAAGAGACTGTGATAATATTCCGCAGTCCCCTGGCTTGAAAGGATTACTCCTCTTTCCTGGTTAGTGTGCACAGTCTTTTCTACTGTGAGATAGTCCAGGAATTCCAGAAAATTAGAGAAAATGATGTAATAAACATTTGTAGTTGTGCCATCCTTGCCTATTGTTATCCTAGAAATTCAGCTGTCTTTGTTACTTTCCTGTCGTTGCTGGGACAAAATACCTGACACCCCAAATTAGGGAAGGAAAGGTTTATTTAGCTCACAGTCTGTGGAAGTTTCAGTCCATGCTCAGCTGGCTCCAAGGCAGAGTGGCACATGGCACAGGGCAACCGTTCGTGGCAGCGGAAAAGCAAAGCAACAAGAGCAAAAGGGAGGAGTGGCAGCAAGCAGCCTCTTTCTCTCCCTTACGTATGCAAACTGTCTGCCCCAGGGCGGTGTAGCACTCACATCCATAATCCCAACATTGGATCACGGATCAATCATAAACTCTAAAAGCCCGCCCCATGACTGCATGAGGCTTTGGGGGTCATCCAGATGCAAACTGTAACACCAGCCTAGGACCTGGCACCTACTAGGGATGAACTCTATCAATGAGCTACCTCCCTGCCTACAGTCCTAGCCCACTGTTAAAGAGTTGCCCTTGCCACCCAAGAAGATTAAATGTGATGCTCACCTCCTCCAGGAGCTGATGGTCTGACGTGTGCAATCAAGGTATCTGGGTGCCCTGTACTACATAAGCAGGCTGCTTGTTTATCTACCTCCGGTTAATCTTCCTGTAAATGTTAGCTGATCGGTGAGCCTGTGCTCCAGGTGCAAGGATGCACCACCCAGAGGTAGGTCCCAGTAGGCACCCAGAGGAGGCGCAGGGCACCGCAGAGGCTCATGTCCAGCCAAGGTCAAGATCAGGCTTTCCATACACCACAGGAACTTTGGCTCTTTCCTTCTGTCTTCAGGGTCCCAGAACCTGTGGTCAAGAAAGTGGTTCACTGCTCATAGGCCGCTGGAAAAGTCAGAGGAGATTGTGACCTTGGGCGTTCCCGCTGAGCCAGGCTCTTACCAGCCTCTCCACTGCCTGTCCTGCTGCCTGTCACATCTCAGCCCTTCTCCAGCCTGCTGTGGGGGGCCATGTTTCACCCGTGACATGGTCCCCCCCCATCCCCTGGGAACTGTGTCCCTAGGGATGCCCTCTGGCCCAAGAGGGTGGCCTGCAGGTGCAGTAAACATGCAGCCTTCATCCCTCCATCTTTCTCAACAGCTGACATCAGCTCATGCGCACTGGATCCTGCCTCCACCTGCGCCCCTTTTGCAAGAGTTAAGAGTGACATTTGGGGACTGCTGCTCATCACCAGAACAGAAAGTGTGAGCCTGGCCCTAGGGCTCAAGATGCCCCTGGAGCGCATGGTACCCTGACACTGTAGCCTGGGAAAGCAGGTGATCTATGCAAAGCCACTGCCCTGCCTGGAGAGGAGGGGCACCCCATAACCTGGGGTCCTTAGGGACATGTGGCCAGGAGGTGGCTGGGCCCAGGCCACAGGCAGGAACCACATCTCAGCCCCACGGGCAGCCTCCTCTTGCGCCACCATGCACAGGGCCCAGGCCGTGCCACGCCTCCTAGGGTCCCTCTTCCCAGCAGACCCCTGCCTGCCTCCCTTTGCTCCGTGGCGGTGCCCCCCCGCAGGCTGCCGGCCGGGGAGGATGCGCTTCACCCAGGCGCGCTCTCCGCTTCCTTCCCCTCCGTCTCCTTGTATGCAGCTGATTCCCTAGGTCGCGTGGGGGAGGCAGGGCCGGCAGGGGCCGGGTGTCGTCCTTTCCATCCGCTTCACGTTGGCCATCTGCTTTCCGTAGTTCCTGCGACTGCCGCACACTCGCTGCCTCGGGCAGTGCAGGTTTCCTGTCTCCAGGCTCGGGGTCCAGAGGCGACGCGGTGTCCCAGGCTACACGCAGAGCGGCCGAGCCCCCTTCGCTGTCTGTGCGGGGCCCACGCCCTCCAGCGCTGCACGGCGGCCCTCGGGGCTCCGCTCGGGCCCGGGGACCAGGTCGCCTCCCCATCTCAGGGTGGCGGGGGGCAACCTCCTGTGCTCCCTGCACTGCGGGCCCGGGGCCAGGGATGTTTGGCGGCCGTCAGTTCGCTCCCGCGTGGCGTGGGACGGGCACCCGCCGGTGTGCGGCGGGGCCGGAAGGGGACCGGGCGGGCTTCTTGTCAGCGGTGTCTGTGACAGCGATCTGAGTGGCGCTTTGTTTCGGGTGAATGGCGGGTGTGCCAGTCGCTGCGCCTTTGGGAGGCGGCGTGTGGGCCCGCAGCGGCTTGGGAAGGCAGGGCCGGGCTGTGGAGTCCAGCGGTCCCCCTGGGGCACAGGGACGAGGGCGCAGGGGCTGTGCCTTGGACACCACCGTAGGGAGCTCGCGTTTTACTCTTCACGAGTGAGAAGGAGTTCACGAACCGAAGCATCCCCCGGCGCTCAGTTAAGGTTCGAGGCGGCAGGGTTTGCTTCAGGGCTCCGCAGTGAGGACCCTCAAGCCGGGGATGGGAACGTGGACGCTCGTCACGCTCGGCCCTTTCCGCAATAAGAAGTTTAAAATGAGTGTGTCCTGTGGCCTCTGTAGATAAATACCAGAATCCAGTTAAAAGCAGGCTCCGAACGGTGGCCGTGAGGTCAGCGCTGAGGTTTCAGTGCCAGCTGTGCGGCGGGAAACCACCGAGGTCCAGTCAGGTGAGCGCGGCGCCCAGTGGGGTCAGCGCCACGTCCGGTCGGGGCAGGGTAATGTCCAGTCGGGTCAGCGCGACATCTGGTCGGGCAGGGTAATGTCCAGTCGGGGCAGGGCGACGTCCGGTCGGGCAGGGTAATGTCCAGTCGGGGCAGGGCGACGTCCGGTCGGGGCAGGGTAACGTCTAGTCGGGGCAGGGCGACATCCGGTCGGGGCAGGGTAA